GAGGCGAGCGGCCAGCTTTCTTATCACCTGCAGGGTTTATTAGCCACATACATAACACTGCAAGAAGTTCCCACTAACAAAGCTTTTACAGGGCGTCCTTGTGAATGATCCAAGGAAGGAGACAGGGCTTAGAGATCAGATCTGGCAAAGAAGATGTGTGGGGTGCTGGTGCCAGAGACCTGTCCCCCCAGTGAAGAGGATGGAGCCCATCCCCACCAGACTCCCAAGGACCGATCCACATGGACCCCCTCCAACCTGCCATGTGGTCCACTCTTGGGCCTCACTCAGGCTGCACCCAAGAAAGCTTTCTTTGCTGTTCACACAAATAGCCAGAAAGTTGTGAGCTGCCTGTGTCATTGTCTGGTGGGCCATGGCCTGGTACAACCCAGAAGACCCTCGCAGGGGCTCACAGATGCACAGGGCACCCCAGGGACACACATCACAAACACACATATGCATACACACAGAAATATAGGCACACACCCACACATATATACATACACATATGTGCACAAACATATACAAATACACATGCACACAAACACACATACACACATGTGCAGACACATGCACACACGTTTGCTTACTTGGACCTCACTGGACAGATTCTTCTTAAAAAAAAAGAAAGAAAAGAAAAGACACATTTGAAAGGCAGAGCCACAGAGAGAGAGGGAGAGAGAGAGAGGGAGGTAGAGGTCTTCCACCTGTTGGTTCACTCCCCAGATGCCTGCCACAGGTGGGATGGGGCCAGGTTGAAGCCAGGAGACAGGAGCTTCATCCATGTCTCCCCTGTGGGTGAGCACTGTCTATATTAGCTTCTCAGGTGTATTAGCAGGGAGCTGAATAGGAAGTGGAGTAGCTGGGGCTTGAACCAGACCTGGAACTAGCACTCTGCTGTGCGATGCAGGCCTCCCAAAGAGCAGCTTAATCTGCTGCACCGCGGTACTCACCCCAGACCCTTTCTAGGAACCAAGTGCTTCCTCTCAGACTCACAGGTGATGGGTGAAATACGTCACAGCCTGGGCTGCAAGGGCCCAACGCCCCCACCACTGTAGTGCTGGGTACAGTCCTGGAGGCCCCTTTGACCCTCAGAAATGCTAGCATGCAGGTCAGTCCAAGGAACACCACCCAGGGACCAGGCCAGCCAAGGAGGCCAGGCAGCAGTGAGGACCGGCGGTACTTGGAGGGCCCAGGACAGACGGGGGTATTTGGCTCTATTGAGAACAGGGGAGGATGAATCAGCCCACATGTCTGAAGCGCCATCATGCCCTCTCGCCGGCCCTGATCCGCACACTGGGGAGAGCAGAGACAACAAGCAAACTCATCTGTGCTGAGAATGTGGCCCCACTGCAGTGGATCCGCCTGAGCAGAGTGAGTTCCTTAAAACCCTTGGACCCCTGGCCAAGGGCCTCTCTGCACCCCTGGGCCCACAGTCATGGAGGGGACAAGGGCCTCACGGGCCTTCCCTACCTACAGATCTTCTCCCTTTCCGGGGCCGCGAGGGACCGCACGCATCACCACCTTCGGGTCCGCAGCCCCCGGGACCGGCTGCAGGCAGGCCCCCTGCTCAGCAGCAAATTCCACTCATCGTCCTCATTGTATTCTAACCCCAAAGAAAACACGGCGTCCTGCCCAGCAGCTCGCCCATGAAACATTAATCCCCGTGGCCCTCCTTGAGAGTCTTCTGACCGGGGAAGGTATGCCGGACGGGAGCGATGGAAAAACCCTAGCGGGTCAGCACCGGCCCGGCCGTGCCACGGGCGGGGACCCTGGCACCAGCTCCTCCGGTGCTTTTCCAACCAGATCTTGGCATCAGTCCCAGGGATACTGGGGACCAGCCTGGGAGCACCAACAGGGAGAGGACCCTCCCCACTTCCATCAATCCCCCAAACATACAGGGAACTTGGGGGCCAAACAGCAAGTGGCCACAGTAAACCAGCCTCACCCTGCTGTCTAGGCCCCCCGTGAGCCCAAGTGCTTTGCGAGGGATGGCGAGGCTGGGGTGAGAGCCGGAGCTGGGGAAGCTGAGCCCACAGAGGCCACACTGCACCTGCACTTGACATGACCTTGGTCTAGGGTGCCTTGAAAGAGCAACGCTTCTCCCCATAGACCTCTTGCTAACTCACTAGCTCCTTGAAAGAGAGCCCTCATTAATCCCGGGGGAGAAAGTGAAATGTCACAGGAAAACTGAGTCTATACGGCCCCCAGACTCCTGAATGTTTTAGAAACCTAAGACATTGAGTGCAATGCCCGAGTCTGAATGAGAATAGTCCGTGTGGCAGAAATCCAGCCTCAGGCTGAGGCCAATACTCGTCCCCAAATTCTGGCTGATGTTCCCTACCAGATTTGCAAACTCCTCCAATCTGTGCCAGGATTCCCGGGGGCCCCGAGTGTGTGACGTGACCGCAAGCACAGCGCTTTGCTCCTGTGAGTTTAATGGAAAGACAAGTGCTCTAGGATTCAGTGGCTGCTAGATTACATCCTGCTTCCTTGTGGGCCAGGTGCAGAGGGGCCGAGCTTCCGGGCTGGCAGGGCCATGCTCCTGTGCAAGTCCCCGGCCAGAGCCGATGGAGGAAGCGAGGGACTTGGTCAGAGGGAACGACGGGGCCCCCTCTAAGCACTTCACCTGTGCAGTCGCCTGGATGCTCCACAGCCCAGGGACAGAGGTTGAGTTCTGGACGCTTTCAGGAAATGTGCTCTCTCCATTAAAGTGTGATACACAAAGCAGATGAGGGCTCTGGCTGGCCCAGGAGCCCCAGGCCACTGCAGTGACTCTCCCCCAGAGCTGCTCTCTGTGCCAGGCTGGAGAGAACACAGAGCTTAGCCGGGGATGGCAAGTCTGCAGCCCTGTGTGCGAGGGGTCTGGGGTCGTCTTGGCCCCAACGCTATTGCTCCAAGGCAGCAGAGACCTGTCTGGGTGCATTATTACTCCTCACAGCACAGCACTGCCCTCCCCCTTCTCACACTCCCTGGCAGGTGAGCCACCGTATCAGACACCTTCCTCCCAGAGAGGAGGGTTTTGGATGCCAGAGGCAGTGGGGAGGCTGGGAGGGGGCCAGTGCCAGGGGAGCAGGCTCAGCCTGATGCCAGGGGAGCTCCAGCCACACCACACCCAGCGACCCCGGGATGAGCAGGCTGCCTTGAGGGGCTAGAGGCCTTCTGGGCAGCTGTCTGCTCTCCTCTCCTCCTCTCCTCCCACACGCTCAGGCAGAGGAGGCCTGGCCGGCCCGGAGCTCAGCTCAGTGGGGTCTTGACAGCTGGAGCCAGCACCACAGAGTGGGTAGAGCCTGACTTGGAAACCAAGTAGGACAGGTTCAGCCTCGCAATTCTGCCACCTGTGCACTGTGTGGCCCTGGGCTGGTCACCTCCACTTGAGGCATCTGCACCTTGGAAGGGTGTTGGAAAGATGAGAGGGCACAAAGATAAAATCACAGGACAGGCCTCGCTCAGCATTGGCGCTCAAGGAAGACCAGGCCCCTACCGCTTCGTCAGGCCCTGCTTCCCGGCTCTAGGACTCTAGAAGTCACAACCTCTCTGTGGGAGCGTCTTTCGGAACTGTCTCTGGGAAACTGAACTGAAAAATAAGTGTGCTTTTGGTGCAAAATTTTGAAATCCATACAAATGGTTATTTTTAATGCAGATTTATTTATTTACTTGAAAGGCAGAGAGAGAGAGAGAGAGAGAGAGAGAGACTGAGAGGGAGATATCTTTTGTCTGCTATTCACTCCCCAAATGGCTGCAAACGCCGGGGCTGAGCCAAGCTGAAGCCAGGAGCCTAGAACTCCTTCAGGTCTCCCATATGAGTGGCAGGGGCCCAAGCACTTGGACCATCTTCTGCTGCTTTCCCAGGTGCATCAGCAGGGAGCCGGGTTGGAAGTGGAGCAGCTGAGCCCCTGATGCTTCTACAGGATGCCATTGTCCCAGGAGGCAGCTTAACCCACTGCATCACAGCACGACCCTGCACTGTTTTTTATAACATGCATTCTCCATGAACTTTTGGCAGGCCCCCTGTACAAGAAAGACTCTGCCATGGAATGGGGCCGGTGGTCAGAGCCAGGCCAGGGACTGGGACGGTTTCATGCCTAGTAGGATGGGATAAGAGATTAACCACACTCTGTTACCCTCTGCACACATCCCAGGTGGGCCTCCCCTAGCCTGGCTGTCACTCACCCATCCTCAACCTGGTGGGCACAGGAATGGTTTGCATGGGCAGTGATAGCTCTGTGCCCCAGCGCAGGTGACCCAGCACCCACCCCCCATCAGCCACACCTTCCCCAGAGGGAGGCAGGAATCAAGTGTCTCTCAGGAAGAGTGCTGGGGCATCGGGATCTTCCCACCCACTGTGCCCCTGTGGCCTGGAGAGACCCTGGGAGGTGACGGCCCCCTGAGCTTCTGTGGACGGCAGGAGCTTGCCCCGGCCTGTGCCCTGTTCTCAGCTCTCAGTTTACCACCAGAGTTGGCCCAATGAGGGGGAAGCAGCCCAAAGTGTGTGCACTGGGGCAGTGTCAGGAACCTAGGTATGACCCTGAACCTGACACTCATCTCACCGACTCAGAGGACTGAGTGTGTGTCCCCTGAGCCTCAGCCCCCTGGGGCACAGGGGCAGGTGGGGTCACACATGTGAGCTGAGGGCAGAGGGAGAGCACTATACGGGGCAGAGGGGATTAGTGGGGCTGCTGGACCTCAGCCCCGCCTTCCCCAGTCCTCCCACACTCCACAGTCAGAGATGGCTCCCACCACCCTGAGCAAACGGCCAGAACCCCTGCACCACTCAGCTGCCCCCAGACCTCCAGAGTGGTCCACTGAGCCCCGAACACTGCCTGCAGGGGTGGCGGTGGGGTGGGCGGGGCAGGACTCTGCACCCCTGCGGTGGGGTTCTGTGCTGAGGGTCCTGAGAGCAGGCGAGCAGGCAGGACCTCCCCAACCCTCCCTTGCAGACCCAGAACACCCCTGTAGGGACACAGCACCCCGGGGAGAAGAACCACAGGAGGCCAGCGGACTTTACGTGTCATTTCCTTTATTGACTTAACATACGTGAAATTCCAAATCCAGAGGCAGGTATGCAGAGCAGACAGATGCAGGGTCCTCGGCGCAGCAGCCAGAACCAGCAGGGAGTGGGCCTGCCCCTCTCCCCTCCCACGCGCCCCACCCCCACCCCCAGGCCCTGGTCAGTGCCCAGGCAGAAACTGGGAAGCTGCAAATGACAGGGGTCAGCCTCAAGCTCCAGGGAGTAGCCAGAGACATGGCCTTCATTGCTAGGCCTGGCCAAATCATCTAGCTGTGGGGGTCTTGGGCCTCAGTTTCCTCATCTGTTAAATGGCTGGAAGTTCCTGCTAGGGAATGGAGACATGCATGTGCACATGCCACATGCCAGTGACTGCTAAGGCCTCCTGGCTGTCCACCTGCGTCATTGTGTCTCTGGGTTTTCATTGCCACCCTGGCTATGGACACGCCAGGGAGCTGTTCTGGCCCTGGTGGAATTCAATGGACTCGAGCAGATAGCTGAGCGGAAGGACCAGCTCCCCAACTCCCACTGCTGACCTCTGCCCTCCAGGTCAGTGAGGAGGAAAGGATTTGTGGCCTGGGGTCCCAGAGTCAGGAAGCTACCCCGATGCCCCCCACCACACTCATGAACAAAGCAAGGGGGCTCCTCCCACTCAGGGCCAGTGGGGTGGGGGTCTGGCAGTGGCTGTGCCCCCAGGGGCTGCGCAAGGGGGCTCCTCCCACTCAGGGCCAGCGGGGCGGGGGTCTGGCAGTGGCTGTGCCCCCAGGGGCTGCTCAGGATAGGGGTCTGGCTGTCCCCGGCCTCCAGGCTTCAGGGAACCCAAGGTTCTTTAACGACACACTCACATCAGGGGCCTGTGTCCACACTGGCAAGGGAAGTGGAGAACTGAGATATGATGGCCACAGTGCAGCGGGCCATGGACATGACGTGGACATGGTGAAGGAACACAAGTGCCTGTCCTCTGCCCTCTAAATGACCTTCAGTCTGCAACAGCCAACCGCGACTTGGGAAGCCACTCCCTGGGGAGCAGCAGATCCAGAAACCTGTGCGGTGGGTGGACCTCTGCTCTGAAACCCATCTGCTTGTGCACAGGGGTCTACACTACACCTCCTGGAACCCATGACGTGTCTACACTTGCAGAATCCTAGAGAGGAACTCAGACCCACATGGCTCGCCCTGTCCCTGCTACTGTACAGATGGGGCCAGCTCCAAGTTCATGCAGCAAAAGCACAGTGGGAGGGTCCTGTGACCAAGGCAAATGGCAGGGGCAGGGCTTGTCTGCACACCCCCCGCCACTGCACCTGCTGGGATCTCCTTCCCAGCACTCCTGGGGGCAAGGTGCATGTTAGGAAAGGGGGGCCACTCCCAAAGGCACATAGCTTTGACAATAGAACCCCAGGCACCTGTGGCAGGTGAGCAGGTGAGCAACTCCGGATGAGGGGGACTGCCTGGCACCCCTCCAGGCCAGAAAAGGCTACACTCTGAGGGCCTCTCTTTCACCTCCTCCATGACATCAGGGGAGTGGGGCAACTGGTAAACCTTGGTCACCAAGAAGCTCCGAGGCCAAGAAACAGAGACAGAGAAAGAAAGTTATATGGACACCCCTAAATGAGGCCTGACCCCGACGGCAGGTCCACTCAGGGGAGTGCCTTTGGCCAGCTTGTCAGAGTGTCTGTAATACGGATTTCAGCCCACCCGCCCTCCACCCCCCCAAACCCGCACCCCCCAGGTCGGTGCCTGGGCCTGGCCCCTCTATTTGGGTTTCATCTCCACCCTGGAGTTGATGTCATCGCCGTCCAGGTCATACTCCTCCACCTGGCCGCTGGTCCACACCTTCATGCGATCCGTGAGGTCGCTGCTGCGCGGCGCCAGGATAAAGTCGTAGATGAGCACGGCCAGGGCGCCCCCGATGAATGGCCCCACCCAGAAGATCTAGGAGCAGAGTGGGCAGGCTCAGAGGGCGTCCAGCTCTTCCCAGCCTCCCCCACTGTGAGGGCCCAGCAGGTAAGATGCTGGCCTGGACCCTGCACAGCAGCCATCGTCACAGCGAAAGCCCATCGGGCGCTCCCTGTGAGCTGAGCTCGGCCTGCAGGTGTGCCAGTGAGTGCCTGCCTTCTCCGCCCCGCAGCCCTGCTTGGGGAGGGACCACTGTGAACCCACTTCACAGCTGGGGAAGCCACCGCACCAGGAGGCAAGCACCTGCCCCAGGCCACGCTGTATCAGGCAGGGCAGGACTCAGACCCGCTCTCAGCCATGCTGCTGGAGTGACTTGTGGGCCGGACAGGGCAGGGTGGGTCTAAGCTGGGAGGGAGAAGCCAGTCCTAGAACTGCCCACTGTGTGACCCCTCGTGGCCCCGCTGTCTCCCAGACCTCTGTGTAGGGAAAGCAGGATGTGAGGTGGGCTCAGGCTTGCCGCAGATGCTAGTGCCTCCCACCCACCCCCGCCCCAGGCGGCCCCCACAGGGGTCACTTACCCAGTGGTTGTTGAAGTTGTGGGTGAGCACCGCCGAGCCGAAGGACCGAGCAGGGTTAATGCCACAGCCAGTGTAGTCGATCTGGGGGTTGGGGAGACGGACAAGGGGAGAGGAAGAGGAAGAAGAGGGAAGGCGGGACCCGGCAAAGAAGGGAGAGGAATGAAGAGACAGGGCAGGGGCAGAGACAGGTGCAGGGGAAGCGACAGGAGAGCGAGGTGGGGGAGAGCGCGAGTCAGACACAGAAGCACCGAGGGACACCGGCCCAGAAAGCTGGTCGGGAGGTCCCCTAGTCCCCTGAGGCTGACCTGCTCCATCCATAACCCCACCCACAGCCCCGGGCAAGGCTTTCCCTGACTGCCACCCCAACCAGGGAAAGTCCCCCCAGCTCACCGCCAACAGGTGTCCCAGGGCCACAGAAAAGCCGATGGCAAGGGGAGCTGAGCCGCCCAGGTCGCGGCGCCTGCGGTCGGTGGTGGCCAGCACACACAGCACCAGCTGCAGGGTGCCGATGATCTCGATGCCCAGGCCCTGGCCTGAGTTCACGCCAGGGGCCAGCTGTGGGGACGGGAGCAGAGAGGCCCAGTGAGCACGGCAGGCAGGGACTGGGTCCCAGGTCCCCCTGCCTCCCAGGATCAGGCACCAAGAACCAGACTCAGCGCCTCCAGAGAGAGACGAGCGCTGTGCCCTTTGCTGTGCCCAGAGAGGCCCCGTCCAGACACACACAGCAGGCGGCCACAATCGGCCTCATCCTCTCCCACACTACGGCTTGGTCCCGGGGCCAGCCTAGACCTCCCCAGCTCTGCCTGCAGATCTGAGTGGCCTGGGGCACAGCAGCCCTGCAGGCTGGGGTACCTGAAACCATCGGCAAGGGGCGAGCCCCAGGTGTGGGAGGAGAGAGTCGGGGGCACTGGTGGAAGAAGAGGAGGAGTGAACAGGACGGCCCAGCTTGGGGGGGGGGGGCATGGCCTCCTACCCCCAAAGTCCAGAACATGCCACCCACCCCCTGCTGCATGCCCGAATCCCAAAGCTAGGGAAAGCCCGCTCCACTTAGCCCCGCGGCTCCCTCTGTCTCGGTCTCCTCTGTGCCAGGGCCCCCTGCTGCCTCCGCCCTCCGTCTCCGCTGCCCCTCCCGGTCTCCCGTGGCCCAGTGTCTTGCTCCTGTTTTCTTTTGGCGTTCCTGACTCTTCTTCTCTCTGCACGCTCCCTCCCCGCTGGCCTGGCCTGGTCCTCACTCTCTCTGGCCACGCAGGCCCCCGCCACCGCCGTCTGGCTGCCACTTGCTCCTGGGCCACTTTTAGAAACATGACTCATGGAAAAAGAAGGGAATGGGAGCTACCATGAAGTCACCGGAGCCCCGTCTCCCACAGCCGCACCAGGCAGACCCCTCCCCAGGAAGCCCTGCCCCCCGACGCCCCGTGCACCCATCTCCAGGGGTGCTGGACCACTTGGTAGAGGCCCAGCACAGAGATGCACCGATGTGGCCACCGAGCCGCCTTCCCCCCGGCAGGACAGCTGCGTCCCAACAAGCCGTAGTCCTGAGGCCATGGGGCGTCTTCACGGTCATGGGACATTTTGCAGATTCCTAGGTGGGGGGCACCCCCCACCCCTCCAGAGGTTTTCCCAGCCCCACCCTGAGGCCATCTTAATAAGAACAATTCTCTTCCCGCCTTTGTCTGCTGCACTCGGCTACAGGGAGTGAGTCACATCCCCTCCCCTGTCTGCGGCCCAGCTCCAGAGCTTTGGGCCCTCTGGCCAGCCAGCCCTCTGGCAATGCCCAGTTCTCTGCTGGCGCGCCAAGGTTGGGCGCTGTTAGCATGGCCTGGTCCTCTCTGGGCCTCAGTCTTCCCATCTGCAAAATGGATTTAATTGTCCCTGCCCATTGTCCAGAGCAGCCAGGAGGTTCAAAGGCAGCGGGAGCTGTCCGAGGAGTAAGGGAAGGGGTCCAAGGCAGGAGGAGCCAGGGCAGCGCTGCTGGCTGTTGTCCTGGCTCTTTCTCATGGCATCTGCAGGATTCAGGGGTGGGCAGAAGTGGGGGAGGGGCCCAGCCTGCGCAGAGGTGTGAAGATGGTGAATGGAGGCAGGGCTGGCCGGGCCCAAAGTTGAGGGTAGCCCAGCCTCCACACACCTATGAGGCCACGCCCCTCAGAGGCTCCTTCTCCAGCGCTCTGCTCCGCTCTCCAGGATCAGCTAATTGCTTGCTGGCCGGCGTCCTGTGACAGCTCCTCCTGGCTGATTAATGGAGCTGATGCCCTAAGCGGCGCTCCTGCCTCAGACTCTCCCCACCCAACCCACGGCCCGGGCCAGCTCAGCTCAGCTCCTCCGCTGGTTCTTAACCAGCTCTGAGAGCCCCAACCCTTTCCGAAGGCACCCCTGTTCCTGCAGGGGAGCAGAGCAGGGAGTCGTGGTTCAGGGCCCAGTGCTCTGGGCCCTCGGGGAGGAGAGAAGCCAGCCACCTGCCCTGGGGACCCCAAAGTGCGCCTCCTGCCAGCTGAGAGCCACGGGGGCTACAACCTTCCTCTCCCATTGCGTCACCATCTACTGCCTTCCTCCAACCTCCTAATACCTGACATCACTTAGATCTGGATGAAATTCATCAGGATTGGAGGAGGCCTGGAAGAGCTGTTGAAATTTGATGTCCATGAAAGAGCAGGCAAAAAATCAGAACTTAGCACTCCTGTGCACAAATCACTGGGTGTGAAACAAGTGCTGGTAGAGAGCCCATCCCGATTGCAGTCACTTGGTACTTGGGGAATAACACAATGTTGCTCGCTCCCATGTAGTTGGACCCAGCTGAGGTCTTAGGGGAAAAAGTAACCAACAGTTTTGTGAACGCACGTATAAGCTATAGAAAAATCCATAGATCTTGGAAGCATGAGGAAGATACAGCTCCCGCTTTGGACACTGAATCCATCTCAGGCCCCTGCTCAAGGCGGCTGCAGACCCTCCCAGCTCTTGCACCTTCCTGCATCCCCCACTAACTTTGACTTCTGCCCACCCTGCCCCACCCACAGGGACCTCCTGCCTCTCTGTGGGTGCCTCACCTGCTCGCTCCAGGCTAGGAACTCTCTGTCCAAACCTCCATGGAGAGAGGCCAGCTGAGTGGAGGCGGGCGTGGTGGAGGATGCTAACTGTCTAGAGCTCATTCCCTCCAGGGGCAGGCCAGCTCCGGGCAGGCTCCCTGCACGCTGGGCCCATTTGTTTACCTGCTAGCTGGAGGTGATGGCCAAGCGATAGGCTCTGGGGCCCACCCAGGAGGCCTATGCCAGGGTTGGAGGTGATGGCAGATGGGCTGGCCGAAGCTCAAGGAGTGGACAGCCAAGCCAGGACCTTGCCCTGGGGTCAGCGCTGCCCTACACTCACAGGCCAATATGTTGGCTGCCCTTAAGCCCAGCGAAGGGACCAGGCTGTGCCCCACTTGGACGGGGGAGCTGGCAGAGCTGGCTGCCTGCATGTCCCAGGCTCCAGGACTGACCTCTCTGGGAAGTGGGCTCTGGCCCTCCCTGCTATCCATGGGCAGGCCAAGCAGGGGAGTTTCCAAGGCCCAGGAAGGACCCCCATCTCGGCCTGGACACCCTCACACCCACCATTACGGAGCAGCTGACTCCAGAATCAGGCCTGGCCAAGTCTCTGAGCATCTGCTTTCGAAGAACAGGGCACAGGGGGCATGGGGGCCTGCTATACCTGCCCAGTGCCTGTGGGACTCGACACTGGGCAGTGGGGAAGCTTAGGGGCCGTGTGCACGTGGCATGGCGGCACCCACAGCTTTGTGTGTCTCTGCCTCTCTGCCTCTCACAGTGGCTGCAGCATCTGCGGATGACCATCTGCGTTCTGGAGTGACCCTCTCTCTTTTTTCATGAGAACTCAAGAGGTTGATTGCATAATTTAATGAAAAACCTGTCCAAGTACTACAAAAATCCTCAACCTGTATGCACCAAATGCTAAGACCCCCAAACTGACAGAATCACTTGGAGAACTGGATCCACCCACTATCAGGCAGATTTCAGTCAAGGGGCCCGTGTTGTGGTGCAGTAGGTTAGGTGGCCACCTGAGATGCCGGCATCCCATGTGGGCATGCCAGTGCCAGTCTGGCTACTCTGTTTCTGATCCAGTTCCCTGCAAATGCACCTAGGAAGACAACAGAAGATGGCCCTGGTACTCTGGCCTCTGCCACCATATTTGAGACCTGGACAGAATTCTTGGCTCCTGGCTTCAGCCTGGCCCAGCCCTGCTGTTGTGGTCATCTGGGGAACGAACCAGCACTGAAGATCTCTCTCTCTCTCTCTCTCTCTCTCTCTCGATTTCTCTCTCTCTCACTCTGTCTTTTAAATAAATGACATAAATATTTCTTTAAAAAGATTTCAGCCACATAATTCACAAATTTGATTTCAGGAAAATGTGAAAAATGCCACACTCCTAAATTAGAGAATTTGCACCCATTTTAAACCCGCATGGGCCATTTAGAGAAACCCACCAGGCGCTGGCCCTGCTATGGCTGAGGACAGTGGCCACACAGGACACAGGGCACCATCTCTTACCCAGGAGGGCTCTGCAGGTCGGGGTCTCTGCCTGCCCCGAGCCCCTGGGGGGCCCGGCTGTGCCACGCCCACACAGGTGCCACCCCTGGCTGCAGCACGGTGGGGCAGAGGGAAGGGCCCCCTGGATGAGAACGCAGTGGCCCCCAAAGGCCCTTTATTCACTCCCAGAAGGTCTTCCTGCTGAGAAACAATGCACAAAGCAGGGGCTCCCTCCCTCCCTCTCCGCCTCCCTCTGCCTGTTCCTTGCTGCAGGGCAGGGGAAGGAAGGGGCTCAGCCCCTCCTCTTCCATCCGCAGACAGAGGCCCTGACGGAGTGCGCACCAGCACCGTGAGAGCCCCAGACGTGACGTTCTGCTCCCACCTGCTGGTCTGAGCACTCTGGTCCCAGCTGGTCTGGAGACCCCAGACTCACTGGCACTTCCACACAGCGGTGGGGGGGGCCCTGCGGGGCCCACGGAGGCTCTGCCAGCAGGAACCCAGCGCTCCCTTTCCCACCAGGACAGGGCTCCACACCAGGCCTGCCGGAGGGAACAGAGGGAACCTGCGCTGGCATGGAGGGGTCCCTGCCGGGCGGGGCGCAAAAAGGGAAAGGCAGCAGTGGGGGGCCTGCAGGGCCCTGCACCCTCAGGTCGTGGCTCCTCCCAGTCAGGGCCAAGGTGCAGCCGGGGGCGGATGGGGCTGCCCCAGGGCTCCAACAGGGGAAACAGCGGCTGGATTTTCCGGGCGAGGGAAGGTTCTGCCGCTAAGCTCCAGCCTCCGTGTTCTCCCCCTCAGCTGGCGCTGGCTGAAAGCAGTAATTATAGGTCCCGGCGGTGGCACCACCACCCAGCCCCTGGCCCCCTCCTTGGGCAGGGTCAGCGGAAACTCTGGCTTCCCTCTCCCCAGCCCACCCCTGAGCTCTGGAGGAGGCGCCAGGGGCCCTCACCGCCCCCCCCCCCCGGGAGACAAAGAGGGGCCTCTCGCCTGGTGATGGGGAAGCAAGGGCCCAGAGGGCGGGGGAGGAGGCAGCGTGGGGCCAAGGTCGGCTCTGCTGCGGCAGGTGGAAGCATTGCTGAAGTACTCAGGCCCTGGACAGCAGGGCTGAGAGAAGCCCCCCCCCCCCCAAGAGGGGGTTTCACACTATGCCCCTGGGCAGGGGGCTGAGACCACGGGCTGGAGGCTGCACGCTGAGCCCACACGGAGCTCCCACCATGGCCCCTGGTCCGGCCATACCCAGTGACTCGGGCCAGCCCCCCCCCCCCCCCCCCCGCCCGCCGCTGTCACAGGTTCTTTGCCAGGAGAGTGCTTCCTCCTCTGGTAACTTCTCAGCCAGGTTCACATGGCACCTCCTCCCTGAAGCCCTCCCGACTTTCCTACCTCTAAAGTTCAGAAGTTCCCAGGCCAGCCAGGACACCTCTTATCATACCTGCAGCTGTGCGCTGGGCTTATCTTGCAGAGGGCCTGTGGGCTGCCCAGAGCTGGGAGCTGGGCTGGCTCCGCCCTGCACTCAGCAGCCAGCAGTCTGTCTTTTTCCTAGGGAGTGGGTAAGTGCAGGCCACAGAGGGGAAGCATGCAAACAGTGGCTAACTCCCAGGACTGCCGAGGCCCCTGCTTCCCAGAGCCCATCACACCCTTCTCTGTCCCTCGGCCACCCTGTCCAGGGCAGCTATGTGGAGTCCCACACAGGGTGCCAGTGGCTGAGCTAAAGCAGGCCCCCGCCAGAGTGCCCACCCCAGCCTCAGAGCCTCTCCCCTTGGCCACAGTTGGGGCTAGAACCGCGGGGACCCCCCAGGCAGGACGGAGGCCGTGGTCTCCCTAGGGCGTGTGCCGAGCGCTGACTCAGTCAGGAGAGAGTTGTCCCTACCAAGTGTCGGGGGAGGGGGGGACACCCCTTGACTCACCCAACCACTTCCTGCCACTTCTTTCCCTATTTTCCTGGGAAATCTCCATGCCAACGACTCACCCCACCCAGATTTGGGCCAGGGTGGGGCCCTGAGCCAGAGGGGCTGCGGGAGCCTCCCCTAGGACTGGAGGAAAGATTGTGTCACCTGCGTGTGGCATAGGCTACTCTCTTCCCCTCCCCCGACCCTCCAAACAGAGGCATCTGGTCCGCCCAGGGCCCTGCAGATCCCAGGGCCGGGGGCTGACAGTGCCCTTTCTGGGGCAGCTGCTCTGTTTCTGGGCCCACGCTCATGCCCCAGACCCCCCACCTCTGACCATCTCCACTGGCGCCTGAGCCCCCACCAGAATGCTTGGCCCCTGTGGAGACGACAAGCTCCAGCCAACAACGTGAGCGGGTGGCGTGGGCACAGCCAGGAGATGGCACCAGACCGGGTGCCCCATGAGCGCCACAGAAGTTAGCAGCAGACAGCGCTGGACGCCGTGTGCCTGCCCCAGCCCAGTGTGACTGAAAAGCAGAGGCCCGAGAAGGGGCTGGGACACCTAAGCAGGGTGGGGCCAGAGCAGATGGCACAGAGGGAGCACCGTCCTCCCGCCTTTGCCTGAGTGCCACACTGGGGAGTGGCATTTTCCTGCTCTGCCAGGTACATAGGCCTACCCCACCCCCCGCCTGCCCCCTGAGATGAAAGGCACAGGAGGGAGCCAGAGGGCCTGGGGGTCTCCACCCCTCTTCTAGGGTGACCCTTCCCCACCCCCCTCCTGCCCAGCCAAGCCCTGGTACGAACTTGACTCTCCCTAGCAAAACCCCCTGAGGCCACCTAGCTCTGCCCCCACCGGAGAGACGGAGGCTGGGAGGGACATGGCCCGCTGAGCTCTGTCCCTGACACCCACTGCAGCCAGCCACGTCTTCCCTCGGCTAAAGTCTAAACTCCAGCCACAGGGCTAATCTTCAATCCTGGGCTCAGCAGAGGTTGGCTCCGAGGAGGGCTGAGCGAGCGAGGTGTCACTGTGACAGAAGAAGTGCTAATCCCCTGGTGGCAGGGCCCGGCCAGCTGCCTTCAGCACCAGCCCCTTCCCAGGACTTGAACTTGAGCTGCAGAGTGTGCAGACTCTAATCCCAATCCACCCCCCACCCCACCCCCGCCACCCCTGAGGAGCCTCTGCCAGCCACCTTTCTGTCCCGAGCTGCCTGTCCTGCCAGCCTGGTTTCTCTGGATCCTGTGCCTCCTCTCTGCACCCCAAACCTGCCTGCCTGTCCCTCCAGCCCTCTGAGACACCCTCCAGCCCCTACGCAGCCACTGGGGCCAAATGGCCCCCTGCCGTGGCCCGGGCACTTGGCCGAGGAACTGCAAAAGCCTAGGTCTATGACCACAGGCAGCTGCCACCAACAGCCACTCAGACATGCTTAGTAAGCCATCAGGGAGCAATCCTTTGGGCAGCTTCCACTCAGCTGCCAACATGTGGCTGCCATTACCCACCCTGGCCCAGGAGCTCTGGGCACAGGTGGGCACAGCGCTTCCACAGGCTCAGAGACCGCACCGGCCAGCAGGTGCACACACACATGGTCACACACACATAAACACGCCCCGGATGGTGGCGCCAGCCCCTGCCCCTGCCCCCACCCCATGCTGCCGTCTGGGGCAGCCGCCTTCCAGCAGCCCGGGACAGCGTTTCCATTCCCTTATCTTTGTCCAGGTCCCTGAGCAGAGCTGCAGAGGGGCCTGCCTCCCAGGACAGGGGGCAGTTGATCTGGGGACCTGTGTGAACACAGGGGGCCACCTGGAGGCTCCCCTGGGGATTCCTGCTCCCCCACTCGCAGGACTGGTCACAGATACGCCACCCTCTGGCTCAGCGTGGCTGAGGGCAGCGGGCAGAGCTTGCCCAGGGGCAGGGCTCCAGAGAATGGAGCCGGTTGCACAGGCAGGGCAAACGAGGGCCAGGAAGCTACAGCCCCGGGGGTACAACTGCTGGCCCAAACAGCCAGCGGCTCCCAGAGCTTATGCCCGCAGCAGATGCCCTGCAGGGGACATTGGCACAGCCACCAGTCTCTGGAGCTCAGCTTCCCACAGCGCCTGGCAGCAAGCGGGCACAGCTGAGCTCCAGCCCCAGCTCTCTCCATGACCTTCAGCAACCTCTGGTCCTCTCGGATCCTCAGCGTCTCCATCTGCACAATGGGCAGAGGATGGGGCTGAGTTCCTCTCTGCTGGACTCCCCACACGCCTGGGTCCCCGCGACTCACGTCGTTGCGGCCGAGCGAGTTCATGGGCAGGGACGAGGTGACGCCCGAGAGGATGGCGGTGGCGACGATGGCCCCCACGCACTGGGCGATGATGTACAGGACGGCTCGCAGGATGCTGATCTGGCAGCTGAGCAGCAGGCCCAGCGTGACGGCCGGGTTGAGGTGGGCGCCGCTGATGTGGCCCACGCTCTGGGCCAGCGTGGCAATGCTCAGGCCGAAGGCCAGCGACACCTTCACGTTGTCCTGCACGGCCGTCTGGTTGCTGCCCACCGGGTACTGGAAGCCCAGGGCAGAACCGATGCTGATGAAGACGAAGAGGGTCATGGCCAGGAACTCGGCCACCACCGCCCTCCAGAAGATCTTCTTCTTGAACTCGCTGGCCATGCTGGCTGGGGGCTCGACAGGAGGCGGCTCGCTGCCTGGGGCTCCACTGCCTGCAAGCTCAGCCACAGCCTGGCCGGGGCCTATTTATAGGGCGGGGGGGGGTGTGGGGGTGTGGACGGGGGGCGGGGAGCACAAAGGGAGGAAAGGCCTCTCCTTGCCGCTGGCCCGCCCCGCACCGCACAGGCCTCCTCTGGGGCGAGATGCCGCCACGGCTCTGCTGTCCGCCTGCCAACTTTTTTCCTTCCTCCTCTCCCCCTCCCTCCCTCCCTCCCTCCCTCCCTGGCTCCCTCCACCCTCCTCCCTGCCCAGTCCGAGGAGGCAGGCAGGAGGCAGCCGCTGCTCTAATAGGCTTTGGGAAATTCCTCCAAGCTGGCCCCACTCAGGGGGCTGGAGAGAGCCAGGTGGCACAGTCCTCCCTGGAGACGGCACCATGACCTGGCTTTGCCTGGCATCCCCAATCCCACCCAAGAGCCGTGTCAGGTCTGGAGCCGGCAGCTCCGGGGCCCCAGCACTGCGCGTCACTTCAGGGATGCCCCAGAGCCGCCAGGCCTCCGTGGACAGAGAGGGAGCTTGTCTGGGTGCCGCCCTCCGTGCCGGGTCAAGGGCAGGCACGAGATGGCAGGAAGCCCCACCCCAGGGCCCCTCCAAGTCCCGGGGAGCAATGTGTATTGATGCTGTGGGGGCAGTGGGGCTGTCGGGGCCAGTTTGAGACATGGCCACATGTTAGTGGAGAGACAGAAGGAGCAGAAGCTCAACCCAGAGCCCAAGGTCCCTGAGAGGAGAGAAAAGGGCGGACGGGGGGGGGGGGGGGCAGGCAGACCGCGAGGGCAGAGAGGCAGGGGAGAAGCAGGGCTGCAGGCGCAGGGCAGAGGAAGAGAGAGCGCCCCAGCCCGAGACGGGGAGATAGGCTGGCAGGAAACACACCGCCAAGGTGGGCGCCAGCTGGCTCTGCAGCCACAAAGCAGAAAGGTGGGAGTTACAGAGGAGCCGGGAGCCAGGGAGCCGACAGCTGCCGGGGAGAGAAGACCCACGGCCCAGGGGCAGCCAGCAGAGCAGGAATCAGGACTCAGCCGAGAGCAGGCAGGAAGCCCCTGGTGCAGCCCCCTTGCCTGTGCCGGTGCAGGAAGGCGATCCGGGCAGGGCCCCAGCTGGGCGCTCAGCAAGGGCCTGGGATGCTCCGGGCAGCTCGGCTTCCACCTGCCCTCCCCGCTGCCCTTCTGCCCCAGCAGTGCTGACTCCTCCCCAGCCAGGGAGGGGAGGGACGCCTCTGAAATCTGCGTGTGCTGGGGGCAGGCGGCCAGCTGGGGTGGGGTCAGGAGCTGCACCAGCCACGTGCACCCCACTGCCTGTAAGCACAGAGTAGCCCGGGGGCAGCTTGTCACCCTGGTGGCCAGCGGCCCTGTCTGTTCAGGAGCCTGGGTGAACTGAGGTAATTGGTGCCTTTTAACCAGCCCAGAGAGGGAGCCAACTGCACATCCTCCACTCGGCACAGCCTCGGCCCCCGCGGGGAGTTCTGTGGTCAGTTCCAGGGTCCTCCAGCCAGAGGTCTGCTCACAGGGCTGGGGTTCCTCACACGGCTCCTATCTCTCAGGCCCCAGGCTCCTGGCGTGTCTCCCCTGGGCCACATCCACTGCGGGACCCCCACACCATCGTCGCCTGTCCCCACCCTCCCCCTATTCATGCAGGGCTGAGCTTTGTCACTGCTCAGTGCCAGGATCCAGCCAAGAGGCAGTGAGGGAGCTCAGGGTTGGGGCAGGACTGGCCCCGGGCCCCATGGAGCTACTACTGAATGCCCCTTGGCAGAATCAGGGCCACAAGCTTGGTGGAACCATGACTGCAGGCCAGGCCAGAGGCTGCATGACACGCATGATGGTGACAGCCACTTGGACCTACGAATTTACCCACCAAGGGCTGGCTTAGCCCCCTGGCAGATGCCAAACCCTGTCCTGGGTGCTGGGGACAGCAAACGCCCAGACAGACCAGCGTCCTGTCCTCACTGGGCTCCGTGTGGCTGCAGGGGCCAGCTGGGACTGTGGAGTGTGTGAGTGTGAAGGTGTCCTCAGCAGGTGCCCTGGCTCTGCAGCAGGAGCTGGGGAGTCACAGGGAACAGCGTGGGGCCCCCACCCCGGTCTCTGGTCCTCAGGGCGAGGCCGTACCTTCCCGGCTGGGCATCTGCTGCCATGCAGCTGCTGCGGCTCCCGTCCTGTGGAAGAAGGCACCACCCTCACCAGGAGGCGTCATCAGAACGCAGGGGGCCGGAGAGGCAAATGCAGGCCCCGTGCTCTCCTGTGGTACAAAGTGGTTTCTGTGGCTACCACCTGGCCATTGGATGGGCCAGGGGAGGGTTTGTGGCTGGAGGCTCAGAGACACCCTAGACCCCTCTGCTGCCGCCTCTTCCCTGGTACTCGACAAATCCAGGCTAAGTTCAAGTAGGGCGAAAGGACCAGCATCCCACTGGTGCCCTTCATCCAACTGTGGCCTTCGCCCCTCAGCCCCGGAAGGCTCCGGAGCAACAGAAGTGACTGGCTCAGGAAAGGCAGAGCCAGAATGAGAGCCCATCACCACCCAATCCCAGGCAGAGGCTCTGGGTCTCCGCCTGCCTGCCAGGAAGGGTCCCTACGGGCTTAATTACTGGACAGAAGCCCTCGTGTTGGCCCAGGACCAAGTATAAGAGCCGGACGCAGCAGGATGGGTGAGGGGTGGGAGTGAGGGCCAGGAGTGAGGGGGTAGCTCCAGCTTCTCTGCGTATCGAGGGGTGGGGGTGGGGTGGGGAGGGGAGCACTGGGCTAAGGGTGGGTGGGCACCCTGAGAAGTCGGGAGAGCAGCCAGAGCCACCCTGTGGCCCCAGCCCATCCTGAAGCTCTTCCCACAGTGCACCTGCTATCCCTTCACCCTCTGCTGGCTCCATGTCCCTCCCAGGGACGATGGCATGGGCCCAGCCCTTGGAGCCCAGACGCCTGATGCAGACTGAATCAGAACCCTGGGCAGGGCTTGAGGCTGCTCTGGCCCTGCTGGCAGCAACGGGCTCGGCAAGTGCTTTTCCAGATGTGCCTCCTTCCCACATGTCTGGTGAGACCCGGGAGACCTGCTCTCTGGTCAGAGCCCGCTGTTCCCAGGACGGGCTGGGGCCCATCTCCCCAGGGAGCCCGGGGAGAGCCTGGGGCTTCATCTGGAGGGGAGCGAGCAGAGGCTAGGAGGTGGGCGCAGGGTCTGGACCTTGGGCTGTGTGGGGAGAAGCCGCCCACGGGTGTGGCCACGGCTCTCACTAACCAGAAGCTTCTATGGAGGGCAGGCAGAGGGACTGGGGAGAGGGGAATGGACCCTCCCTCTGGGTCCAGCATGGGTGCCTGCCCCCCGGCAGGGTGACAAGAAACGATGACCTCATCCCTCTAGGTGGGAGGGGGCTTAGATATCAGACTGGGAACCATGGCACCAGCATCCGCTCACCAATGGCTTGGGTGAATTCTCAACTTTCCTGAACTGGGGCAGAGGGCGGGAAGACAGCACAGTGCCCGGGGGCTTGGATATGGGTGGTGGGCATCAGAGGTCAGCCAGCAGACCAGTGTTGGTGGGGCACCCGCTTCTGCCCCATGCCCGACTCTCATGGCTCCCCTCAGGGGGCCGCGGCCAGACTTGGTGCTGGTCTGGAGTCTTCCTTCCCGGGAGGCAAGGCCAGCCGCCTGGGCAGAAGGGGAAGCCCAGGCCCAGAGCAGAGATGCTGAAAGGAGCCAGGCCCTGTGCAGGGTTTCAGAGTTAAGCCCTCAGCCAGGTCCTCATGCCCTCCCCATGCTGCTCCAGGCAGGGGCCCAGGTTCCGGTACACGGAGCTGCCCGTGACTGCCGTTGGCAGCCTGGGCTGTCCCAGCTGCTGCGTGGGGTGAAGCTGGGCAGAGCTGAGCACAGGGCTGGGCCCCTGGCCTGTCCCTCTCCTGCTGCCCAGAGGCAGCGCCCACCTCTCAAAGCCTGGGAGTGCCTCCCTGTGCCCCAGGTTCCTCCTCACAGAGGTGACACACAATCCCTCTCAAATCAAAAGCAGATTCAGGGGCCGCCAGGCACTCACCAGGGCTGGGCACTGCGGTCATTTCCGAGGCTGCGGCCTCCCGGCCATCCTCACCCTGGCCCCAGCCCCGCGTGCCTGAGCCAGGGCCAGGCCGACCAGCCTCTCCCCAGCTCAGAGAAGGCCTCCATGGAGGTGCACAGTCATGGTCATCTTTTCCCAGCCTGGCCCTGCCAGTGGGGAGCCCCTGCTCAGAGCACTGTTGGTAGCATTTGGGCTGAGCCGCCTGGCCACGCCCAAGGAGAGGGCAGAGCAGGCCAGGGCTCTGAGAGGAGCAGCCGCTGCCCTCGGGCCCTGGAAGGAAGTGTCAGTGTGGAAGTGGTTCTGGAAGACTCCCCACGCCGGATGCAGCCTCTGCCCTGGGCCCCGGCCATCCCTGCAGCTTCCTTTTCTGCTCCCTCTTGCTCTGGGCTCCCTGAGGAATCTGCATTTGCCTCATTGGAGTTTAAAGCTTGGAGATTAGGAGACAAAGTCAAGGGCATTGGATCAGAGGCCTTCATTTTGTGCATGGGGAAACTGAGGCTCAAGGGGAGAGGCTTCCAGCGGGTCTGGGTGGAGCCAGTACTTCGGTCTGCGTCTCTTGTCTGCTCCAGGCTTGGTCTGCCGGCCACACCCAGCCTCCTCCTCTTCCTTCGCTGCTTGACGAGAGGCCACCTCCTCCTGGGACTGCAGCAAAGAACCACGAATCGGAAACCTGGCAGCCACAGGTGTCCAAGGGGTACGCCTCGCTCTCTGCAGCCACCCATGCCAACAGGTCCCTGTGTTAGGGCAGAGCCACGTCCACCCCCCACTCAACTGTTGCCCTGGAGACTTGCCGCACCTGTCCCACAGCTGGTGGCCATCTGCACTCCTTTGCAGGTTTCGCAGGCTCCCCTGCCCTCTTCCCTGGTCGGTAGTCTTCGTGGGGCATCTGTAGGTGCTCAGAGCCAGCCCATCAGGCTGGGACTCCGGGCCCCTGCAACGTCTCCCCCACCTGCCCAGCCCCGCTCCCAGAGGCCCCCAGTCCTTCCCTGGCTGTCCACTG